AGATGTTATGTTACAGTCAACATAAGCAGACTGGGAGTTAGGAGACCTGGCATATCCCCCTTTCTGGGCCTCAGTTTTCTCATTGATATAAAAATAAATAAATAAAAAGTTTTAACAAAACATTTTGTGAGGGCTCTTCAGCCCTGAAGTTCTTAGCTTGAGAACCTGGTATAAGCTAAGTGCTAAGAAGGTACAGAGAAGCAAAAGTTCTGGTTCCCATCCTCAAAGAGCTCCTAGTCTGATAGAAGAGCTAAGACAGAGCTCTAGCAGAAATGCAGGCCATGTGTGGGAAGAACCGTGGAATAATTCCGAGAAGAGGCAAACACCCCAGCTGCAGTAATAAGAGTCTTTGTGCACTGTCTAGTGAGGTGACATTTTTCCCAAGTTTTCATCAGTTCCTAGTCTCTGGAAGAGGAACCCTGCACTGCACCTTTCTCGAGGTTATACAGGGAGCCCTGCTGGCTGATGACATCCCTTACAAGCCCAAGAGATTGGATGCAGGGCTGGCTGCTACCTTCTCCATTCTTTTGTCAAATACGCCTTTTGCTTCCAGCCACTGTCAGACCACAGAACGATGTGGCCCACAAACAACTCTCAGCTTTTGGAGAATATGTGGCTGAAATCCTGCCCAAGTATGTCCAACAAGTTCAGGTAATATTTATTACTGTTCTTTGGGTCTGGGTCGAGAAAGAACTATGTTTTCAGGGAATGTGGGAGTGGGCAACCTGGTTTCAAAGAAACCACAGACTCCTTTATCCCAAACTTGGGCTTCTTTCTGTGCATTAAACCAGGTGACCCCAGCTGAAGTTAGCTGCTCCTTCAGTAGCTCTTTGTTCCCTCTCCCTTCCCTTTCATGTCTGCAGGTGTCCTGCTTCAATGAGTTAGAGATCTGCATTCATCCTGATGGAGTCATCCCAGTGCTGACTTTCCTCAAGGATCACATCAATGCACAATTCAGATCCTTGGCTGACTTGACAGCAGTGGACGTCCCAACTCGGCAGAACCGTTTTGAGGTCAGTGAGGAGATTTGAGAAGGTTTGGAGACCACAGGTATGAAAGGGGACAGGGTAGTTTCAGGGTGACAGCTACCTGTGGGAACCATAACCTCGATTTCAGTTTGGGTCAAACAATAGAACACAGCAGTTATACCAAGGCTTCAGAACCAGGCAGACCTCAAGTATGAATTTTGGCTCTGCCACAGAAGACTGTGTGACCTCAAACATTTGCTTTAATCTTTCTGAGCTTTAATTTTCTTATTTGCAAAATAAGTATAAAGTCATCCCTGTCTTCTTGGATGGTCGTAAGGATCAAATAAGATAGTGTGGGTAAATTGCTCGCACACAGTAAGCTCTCAATACGTTTAACTGTTAGTATTTACTGATTATTTACTATTTGCCAGACCCTGGCATTGAGAAAGAAATAATGAAAATGTTAAAATAATAAAAAAACAAAATATAAAGAGAAAGAAATATTACCCAGTATTGCCATCCAGGAGTCCTCCACACTCTAGTGAGGAAGAGAGACACATAAATACACGAACAGCTTACTGTAGTAACATATAATACATGGGTTGTTAGAGGGATGTTTTAAGAATGCAGGAGAGGCACTTGGCCTTGTCTGGGAGGCTTCTTTGAAGAGAGAGAACGTTTGTGCTGAATCTTAACAGATGAGCAGGAAACCAGAAAGTAAGCCTAGTGAGGGCAGGGGCTGGGTGGACTAGGGAGATACCCCAGACAAAGGGAGTAGCATGAGCAGAGACAGACATGCTGATATGCTGAGCAATAGCTGTGGCCTGGGCCTTTGGAAGTAGTTGTAAGCGTAGGAGCAGCTTGAGGTTTTGAGCTTCAGAACAGAAGGTAGGGTCACAGGGTGGAGGTCAGAGCCACCCTATATCCTCTGGTACATTGATACTCCCAATCAGGGATTCCCACTCCAGATGCCTCAGCCTGTGGCCATCTAGGTCTTCCAGCTCCCTTTGTTCTCCCTAGGTTGTCTACAACCTACTGTCTCTGCGCTTCAACTCACGGATCCGTGTGAAGACCTACACAGATGAGCTGACGCCCATTGAATCCATCGTCTCTGTGTTCAAGGCAGCCAACTGGTATGAGAGGGAGGTGAGTTACTGGACATGATGGACCCTGCCTCTGGGCCAGATCTGTGGAACTGGTTGAAACTACGGGATGCAGTGCAGCCCCTTACCCCTGTTGTTGGCCCTGATGGACTGGTTGCTTGAGAACCTCTCTTTTCTAGGTCTGGGACATGTTTGGAATCTTTTTTGCTAACCATCCTGACCTAAGAAGGATCCTCACAGACTATGGCTTTGAGGGACATCCTTTCCGGAAAGACTTCCCTCTATGTGGCTATGTTGAGGTAGGAGCCTTGGAAATAGGGCAGCATCTTTAGGGAGGGACTTGCGGGGAACCTGGGGGATCCTGGGCATGGCAGGAAATACGGACTGTGGATTGTGGTGGTTTAAAAGCATGGCCTCTGGATTCAAATCCTGGCTTCCTTTTACTTACTTTGACTGTGACTCAGTTTTCTCATCTGTAAAATGAGAGTAATAATAGCATTTAATAGATGCGTGGCAGGCATTAAATGATGTATGTGTAAAGCCTGGTGTACTGTAAATGTTCAGCTGATGCTAGCCATCATTGTAATGATCAAGTCAGCCTTGAGGACACAGTCTGTCCCCGAGAACTGAAAGTGTGGATTATTTCATGCTGCCTTGGATTTTTGGGAAGACAGTTGACAAGGAGGACACTAAATGTTCAGCCCTCAAGAATGGCCACTGAGGCAGGACTAATAACTACAAGGACCTTATGAAGAATTTCAGTGGTACTGCAAGTTATTAGCAGGAAGATAGTCTATCATATACATACACATATGTGAATTTTGTAGCAAAGTAACTTTTTAGAAATATCGAGATTTGTAGCACTCTAGCCCTGCTCCTTTAGTCCCGAAATGCTCCCGTTTTCTTAGTGCTTTGCATGCTCCCATTTCTCTCTCAAGCTACTTCTGGTAAGGGCTACTTCCCTCTCTCCTCCCTTTCACTCACCCCTGTCATCTCCCTTACCTGGATTGCCTCTTCACCCCAGCACCTGATTATCCTACTTTATTTATCTGCTCCCCCAATAACAAGAAGACCCAAGCTGGATGTACTGTGTTAGATCTTGACAGTGAAAATACCAAGGCCATAGGGCCTGAAGTTGTGTGTCTGCGGTTGCAGTTTAGATTTACTCTTTACAGCTACTGACTGCTTCTTAATGTTTGTCATTACAAGAATGTGTGGATGGGTGAGCAGAGTCACTTCTCCTGGGAAAGGGGTGAGCTCATGACGTGGTGGTGGTGGGCAGGGGAGTCTGACGGGTGCTGGCCTGACAGGGCAGGGCATGAGAGGTAGAGGCCATTTTGGAATGCCACACACTAGCTGGTTGGGATATGACCTGATAGGTAACACAGATGTGGATGGAGATTTATCGACAGAGCCTGGGAAGAGGACGGAATAGGAGTCAAGAACAGAGAGGGACAGGGGCTGGAGAAGTCTTACCCTTGGCCTTGTGAAAGTGGACTTCTTCTTCCTGGCTGTAACAAGGCCTTCCTCGGTGCTCAAGCTTGCCTTTTGTTCCTGCAGGTACGCTATGACGATGAGGTGAAGCGGGTGGTGGCTGAGCCGGTGGAGTTGTCCCAGGAGTTCCGCAAGTTTGACCTGAATAGCCCCTGGGAGGCTTTCCCTGCCTATCGCCAGCCCCCTGAGAGTCTCAAACTTGAAGCTGGAGACCAGAAGCCTGAAGCCAAGAAGCCTGAATCCAAGTAGCTCCGTGGAAGGCATGTCGGTCCTAGAAAGCACCTTATCTATAATTGAGTGTCTGTGTAAATAAATTCCTACTTAGATTCACCACTTCCTGTGTGCTTATAATTGGTAGAAATGACACTTTAACTCAGAAGAGGGGAGATACAGGCAGGGGTGTGTTTCCCTGTATTTTAATGGGACTAAATAGTGCAGCGGTAGACAGGGTGACCTACAGGCCTGGATGTATTTCTGAGAGGGATTCTGGAGCCGTAATTGAAAGTTCTTACAGTCCAAAAGGCTCAGGATGGGTGTGGCATGGCCTCCAATGAGAACTGGAGGGAGTCTCAACAACTGCCAAAGAAAGCCCCTTGCCATATCAGAGTGGTAGAAGCTGATGGATCCAGCGGCCTGGGTGGAACCAAGGAAACCCCAATCCACTCATCCCACCCAAACATCCACAGGGTTCCAGGAGCCAAGAGTCAAAGCCAGGAAGAATCTCAAGTCATTTTTAAGTCTTGAGCCCTGTGACCTGCTCCCTGTAGCCTGATCTTCCATCACTCTTGGGCTTAAGAAATTGTCCCAGTTTCTGGCCTGAGCTGAGAATGTTGTTAGCAGAGGAGGTTCTAGGGCTGGGGCAAAGTATTCAGAAGCTACAGATTTCCCTGTCTTCCAGGGGACGATGCTCCCTACCCCAGCCAGTCTAGGGTCTGTTCAGCCTGTGGCTGCGTGCCTGAGATTGGAGTGCTTGGCTCTTCCTGTCCAAGGGGCTGGCCACCCAGCCCGCCATGCAGTTGGAAGACGGGGCTTTGCAGCTGATGCTCTTGGCAGCTGAAGGGCTCCCTGGAGGCTGGGCTGGGTGTTTGGGGTTGGCCTCAGTTGCAGAATGTTTTGAGGGTGAGGACTGATGGTAAGGTAGTGTTACTGCCCGGGCTCTTTCTTACCCATTTGGAGGGCCAAGCTAGAGCTGTTGGCTACCAAACACCTTTTTCCTATTAACTAAGCACCCCGCCCATCTGGGGAGGAACAGGCTGAGGGCCAGACAAGCAGGGAGCCAAGTTCCTGCCAACAACCAAAGATTCCCCATTTCTCAGGGATGGAATGAGTCCTGGGAGGTGACCAAGGCCACAGCCAGCCCCTCCCTGTTCAGCATTGAAGACTGACATGCATAACAGAATTCAGGAACAGCCTGCAGTGGAAAGTTGGAGCTGAGGGTTGTGGCAGGCAGTTGAGGGAGCAGAAAGCTGTGAGGAGAGCGAGACTCAGAGGGCGTGTTGGAGCATGGCTGCGACACTGCAGTTCCTGGCCTGCCTCATGGGAGCCATTTGTCTCCATGGGGTGACTGCGACCCAGCACCATGCAGGTACCCGGGCTTCAGGGTGGGTGGACAGTAGCCAAGGAAGGCTGCCAGCCGACAGTATAGTCTGCTGTACTAGTCTGCTCTGAGCCTAGCCGGGTATAGGAACTGTGGGCATGACGGGTACCAGCTTCATGTGTGCAGTGGTGGGTAATGGTGTGACCCTCACCTCCAGAACTGGAAAGATCCTAGTGACTCCCAGGGAGATAGCCCTAGGTGCCCTTAATGCTGGCCCTGACTAGAGTTGGGCCCTGGGCTTATTCCAGCTGATGCCCAAAGCAAGGTCTCTTGACCTGCCCTGGGCTTGGGACAATCACTGCAAGGGTTAGGCAACACCCCAGGTTGTATGATGGAGGAAGGTACAAGAGACACCCTGCTGAGCCTGGTCCTGCCCTCCTGCCTTGCACAGGATCTACTACTGAGGAGGAGCAGGTAAAGAATAGGTAGGCTCTGGCCGGGTGCAGTGGCTCACACCTGTAATCCTAGCACTCTGGGAGGCCAAGGCGAGTGGATCGCTCAAGGTCAGGAGTTCGAGACCAGCCTGAGCAAGAGAGACCCCCGTCTCTACTAAAAAATAGAAAGAAATGATCTGGACAACTAAAAAAATACATATAGAGAAAAAATTAGCCGGGCATGGTGGTGCATGCCTGTAGTCCCAGCTACTTCGGAGGCTGAGGCAGGAGGATCGCTTGAGCCCAGGAGTTTGAGGTTGCTGTGAGCTAGGCTGATGCCATGGCACTCTAGCCCGGGCAACAGAGCAAGACACTGTCTCAAAAAAAAAAAGAAAAAAAAAAAAAAATAGGTAGGCTCTTCTCAAAGAGGTCCTCATCATTTGGGGAGGGTCGCTGGCACTGTTTTAGGTGATGCTGTCCCTAGATGATTATAGGGAGGGGAAGCAGGAGGGGAAGGGTCTTGTGACTCGTTGGCCTGGAGCTCTTTACCAAGGGCATTGTGCAAGTTAAAGGAGGAGTCCTGGGCATTTGCCGAGATGGTAATTGGGCCTGGGATGATGCTTTTGGCACCACAAGAACTATGCCTGGGAGGGTGACTGTCAATGTGCATGTGGGAGAGGGGAGAAAGGGGCATGAGATGGCATTCCTGCCCTTTTGTAGATTGATGAAGCACTAGGCACCCCTACCAGGCAGCTGAGGGGCACTTCTGGGAGGCTGGGGTGTTCAGAGTGGAGCATGGCAGGGGCCTCACTCCTCTCTGCTGCCCCAGGGCAGCCCATGGACAGCGCCGGCGTGGGAGGTGGCCTGCAGGAGCCAGAGGTCCCGGAAGTGATGTTTGAGGTCTTTCCTCCCAACATGGGACAAGGGGTGGGGTGGGCATGTGCAGAGGTCCCTAAGCTCAGGGTTGGGAAGGGGGATGTCTCAGGGTGGGCCTGCTGGGGGGAGGGAGAACCCAGCATGGGTCCTACTGCCTGCTTATGCCCCCCTGGCCCACTCTTGCTCCCTGCCCCGCTCCTCAGGCCAGCTCACCCCTTACGTGGCTCCCCTTGCAGTTGCTCTGGGCTGGGCTGGAGCTGGATGTCATGGGGCAGCTGCACATCCAGGATGAGGAACTAGCGTCCACACATCCAGGCCGCCGACTCAGACTCCTCCTGCAGCACCACGTGCCTAGTGACTTGGAGGGTGTTGAGCAGCGGCTACAACAGCTCCAGGACCTGCGGAAGGGGCCTCCTCTTAGCCCTCAGGACTTTGAACACCTGCTCCTCACAGGGCTGTCCTGTGTCTACCGGCTCCACGCGGCTAACGAGGCTGAGGAGAGGGGTCGTTGGACCCAGGTCTTCGCCCTCCTGGCACAGGAAACGCTCTGGGACCTGTGCAAGGGTTTCTGTCCCCAGGAGCAGCCCCCAGTGCTGGTACCCTGGGCCTCCATCCTTGACCCCTTACCCTGAACTTCTCCTTTCACCTGCCATTCCCCCCTCCCATTTCCCCCATCTCTCCCAGCTAGATCCATCCTAGGCAGGGGCGTCCATCTGGCACCTAGTTCTTCCCACTGTGTTTAGATCTCTGGGCTTGGCCTGCACCCTGGACACCCCGCCATCTTGTTCCTCAGACCTTGATATGCTAAGAGACCAAGCTCCAGGTCCCAGGGAGCAGGCGCAGAGCTAAGGGCAAGACTTACAGGCAGAGTGTGTGTGTCTGTGAGTCTTTGTGTGTGTTGGGATCAAGAGTCAGGAGTCAGGGTTGAGAAATGTGTTTAAGAGATGCTGAAAGGGAAGCTGACCCCCAAGTCAGTCCAGGTCAGACCCTCCAACTCCTACCCTGGCAGTCCGTGACAGGTTCTGTGCAATTTACAGGACCCCTGTAAGTGCTCAGCACTCAGTCCTAATTTAGATACCCCTTTTAAGCACAACCAAGGCTCTGGGGTCTCTGAGCCTCCAAGTTCCCCATCTGGGCTGGGAGAACAGACTGGACTTAGTGAGTTCTGTCTGTTGGAGAAGTAGAGGGAAGCAGGTGGTGGAACAGTACCTCTTTTGGAGGAGGGAGGAAAAAACTGTCTTGGTCTATCTCAACAAGCTTCAGATGAACGCCTCAGAGGGGAAAGAGTGAGGCTGGGAGAAGACCAATGGAGAAAGAAATAAACTGAGGTGGGCTGGGGCAGGTGTAGCCCTGATTCTCTGTAGTTCTTCCCATAAAATGTTCTGTTCTGGCCTCCTGGAGCCTGTGTCATTCTATGTCAGAGTAAGTTGTCTAACCCCTGCCCTTAACAAATGACTCTCCCTATCCTAGGAGGGCAAAGGTCAGGGCAACGAGGTATCGACTCCTCATCCCACTCCCACGCTCTGCTGGAGAAAGTAATAAGCCATTTCCTTGAATCCCGTGGCCCGTGGGGTAGCAGAGTGCCGTTACAGAAAGGAATCGGCCCGGGTCCAACAATGAGGTCCTAGTTTCAATGGCGAGGAGTCAGACAGAGGGATGGACTGGACAGGGACATGAAGGGGAGGCCCACAACAGATTAGGCGAATATGGTTTAATCAAATTCATCTCCTCGCCCTCCCAGGGCCTGACCCAATCCTGCCCTCTGACTTCCTACCCCCATCTTGGGCCCGTGGGTCTGCAGTTGTCAGTGCTTTCCCTGTCCCGGAGCAAAGGAGTCGCAGTGGAGACAGAGGCAGGACCCTGGGCTGACAGCGCCGCGGAGGCCCACTTTATTGGTAGAGTCCAGCGCGCTGGGGAGGCAGGCAGTCGTGCTTGAGCCCGCGGGCCGATCGGGCGGCGGTCCCCGCTCTGCATGCAAGCCCCCCACGTCCCCGGGCCCTCCCGGGCTCCTCTCCGGGCCCGGGCTCAGAGCTCTGGGGGCCTGAGGCCCGGTGGGCCAGCGGGCGTGAGGTCGGGATACACGAGGAAGCCAGAGAAGGTGATGTACTTGCCGTGGTTGCTGTAGGCGCCGTAGCCGTCGTGGTCGTGGCTGAGCAGCCACACGGCGTCGCCGCGCTGCAAGGGCAGCATCACGCTCTGGCTCTGCATCTCGCGGCGCCGCGACGCGCCGTCGTCGTAAATCATGGCCTGCACCTCGTCGCGGTTCTTCATCAGCTTCACAGACAGCGTCTTGCGCGGCAGTTTGCCGAGCGTAAAGGAGAAGAAGTAGGCGCCCGGCAGGCGGCAGCGGAATACCCCGGCCGCCGCGTCGAAGTCGCCGCCAATGTTGACGAGCTCCGTGTCGAAGGCGAGCGGCCGGTGCCGCGGCCCGGGGCCCGCGTCCGAGCCCACCAGGCTGCGCGTGCGCGCCGCCGAGAAGGCCGAGCGCGGCTCGGGGGGCGCGGGCGGCCCGCGCGCAGGCGCGTCGGCGTCGGCGTCGGCGTACACCAGGTAGCCGCTGAAGGTGGCGCCGGGCGCGCCGAGCGCGTACTGCGGGGCGCCGTGCAGCCGCAGCCACACCGTGTCGCCGTAGTCGAGCTGCAGCATGGCGCTCTGGCTGGCCGCGCGGCGCGCACCGGGCCGCCGCTGCTCGTCGAAGGCCAGCGCCTGCACCTCGTCGCGGTTGCGCACCAGCATCACCGACAGGCTCTTGTGCGGGGCCTTGCCAGCCGTGAAGGAGAAGAAGTAGGCGCCGGGCACGCGGCAGCGGAACTGGCCGGTGGCCGCGTCGAAGTCGTCCCCGATGTTCACGTACACCTTGTCGAAGGTCACCGCCATCTCCGACGTGCCCTCCAGAGGGGTGGTGCGCGCCGCGGAGAAGGCTGAGCGCAGCTCGGAAGCACCGGCGCCTGGGGCTGGGCCCAGTGCCCAGCAGGCCGCCGGGCCCAGCAGGCCCAGCAGAAGCGGCAGCATGGCGCCTAGGAGGAGGAGACGGAGGGAAAGGAGAGGAGGGTTGGGCAGGAGCCGCCTCCAAGCGCCCAGGCCTTTAGGACTGGGAAACTTGGGTTCTCTTCCCAGCCCTGTCCTTGACCCACAATTAGGTCTCAGTTTTCCTCCATCCTTGAACTAGGTCACTGCTTCTCAAACTCCAGCGTGCCTCAGTGTCACCGGGAGGGCTTATTAAACACGCAGTTGGGCTCCACCGCCAGAGTTTATTCAGTAGGTCTGGGATAGGGCCTGAGGATGTGCATTTCCAGCAAATTCCTGGTGATGCTGATGCTGCTGGGCTGGGGACCACACATTGGGAGCCATTGGATTAGGCTAGTGATTTTCCAAACGTGTGCGCACGCACTGAAACCCTTTTCTCTAGTGAAAGCTCACATGCACGTACGCAAACCAGCAGAAATGCTCTGGCTGTCTGCTAGGGTCACCCCTGTCCCTCCCCAGGGGCCTTGGTAACACAGCAGGTGTGCAGGGGTCTCTGAGTTTCTCTCACCCTCCAGCTGGCTGCATTTTCCTGTGGCTATTTTGGCCTGCCCCTCACACAGGGCAGGAAAGGAAATAGCTGCTCGCTGACCCTTTTTCTGGCCTCTGACCCACTCAGGGGTCAGCTCTCGCACTAGACCTCGGGCCTCTGCACTGAGGGGCCCTTCCTGCACTGGGGAGGCCACAACAGTTGGGCTTGCGGTACTTCCTCCTCCATGAAATCAGAGTAAAAGAGAAGGTGTCTCCTTCCTCCCTGCTTGGGGGCTGCTCACTGAGGGGAAGGAAAGCGCCAGGGGCTGCTGGGGATAAGGAGGGAGAGCAACAATTCCAGCAGGGGTTTGGCAAGGCTGTGAAGTCAGCAACTTTGTTCCTCCATAGTGGTGGAGTGGAGAGAGCAGACAGCTAGATCTGGGCTTGGGTCTGGGCTCTACCACTTACACGCTGTGAAAGCTTGGGCAAGTTCCTTAACTTCTCTGGGCATGGCTTCCTCCGTGTAAATGGGTAGGAGACCTGCCTCACAAGCTTGCTGTGAGGATGCTCTGAGATAGCAGGTGTGCACATAGTTTGCAAATGGCAGTGCTACACACGTGTGCAGAGGCTTCTGTTCTTGGCCCTGAGGAAAGCAATCTGATCCAGTTCTTCACCTGAGAGGTTAGGGACTCAGTAACTCCTACTGCAGAGAGCTTGATGAAGGCACTGCTTAACTCGAAGGAGTCACTCTCTGAGGGTGGGATTCCATCCTGCTCCCAAGTAGGGCATAGGCTTTGGGGCTTGATACCCAAAGGCCCTGAAGTGGAGACAAAGCAGGAAAAAAATGAGCCGGAGGCAGCCTGGGATGTGGGCTTCTTTAGAAAATATGCTGGAAGTGTGTGTAGTTCTGTGTCTCTTAGAGACACTGGGGGCCCGCTGAGAAGGGATGACAGGTGCAGCTGTGCAGAGGTGTCCTGCACAAGGGTGCCCACCTGAGGGTAGGAGGGAGCTGGAATCTAGCCCACATTCCACTTTTCCAACTGCTGGAGGGGCACCTGGGGTAAAATGTGCCTTCTAATAATTCTCATAATAAAGACCTCAAATGGCTAGCCCAGCCAAACACTGTCTCCTTCCAGAAGAGGCACTTTTTCTAATTCTCACAAAGGCACCCTGTGGGTTAGCAATACCCTTGGTGAGGGCAAGGAGGAGGGAAGGAGCCCATCTACGCGGTGAAGACTGCACCTCACAAGTGTGCGGTGCATTCTCTTCTACAAAGCTCTTTTCCATGCATCTAGTCTCAGCAAACCTGTGAGATAGGTGGGCCCTCTCCCATTTTATAGATGAGAAGGCTGAGGCCCCAAAAAAGGGGAAGCATTTTGGCCCAAAGTCACAAATGGAACAATGAGGCAAGCCTTGAGCAGAGATTTTTTTACTCCAAATTCCATGTGCCTGCCTCCCCATCACCCTTCCCACATAGACACAGGTATCTCCACCTAACTAGTCCTCTGCCTCAGTTTCCACTTTTGCAAAAAATAGGAGAGGAGACAAGGGGAATAAGCCTTGGGATTCAGGGGAAAGGAGAAAGCAAAACCAAACAAAAGCAAGCACACAAAAAAACCCCTCCAGTGTTTTGTCTTCTGGGAGCACTGAGAACAGCTCAACTCTTCCTGACCCTGCTACTTTCCTAGCAGGTCATGCCCCAGAAGCACCTGCCCACCCTACCCCCAGCGACCTCCCTGCCATGTCTAGTGCACCCCACCAGTGGCAAGGGGTCTTCCTGTGTGTGCCTGGTACCCAGCCTCCGTTTCAGCCTCCAGTGCCCATTTCCCAGGTCCCTCCCTGGGTCTCCATCCTTCCCTGAAGCCCCTTCCCTGAGCAGGTCAGAGGTGGGAGGGCGGCAGGTGGGCGTCATAGCTCAGGGATGGAAATGGCTGTCCTCGCTAGGTCCAGGTGGGGCTCAAAATAGTCATCTTCAGAGAGAAAATCTGGGACACAGAGAGCTGGGCTGACCCGAAGCCCCGAACCAACGGGGAGGGGCAGCGACGTCAGGTTGAGGGGACCTCAGAGCCCCCCTCCCCGCCACTCTCCAGGTAACCCCTCCCTCCAGCCCAGCCAGAACTACCTTCCTCACCTACCC